ATACTTACTGTCATTAGCAGAAAGAATTAACCTCTTATTTGAAATAAAAGGGGTTATAAATAGAGAAAGCACTTGGATAAGAATGTAAGAAAATGAAGGTAAGAAGCAAGAAATGCTTTGTGAAGGAGCTGGAACAATATAATATAAAGATAAGTGGAGTCAATGAGGTGAGGATGAAGCTGATTGAAGGTACACAGACAGGATGGCAGCCTTTGGCTGAGAGCTCTTGTTCCCGTGAAGAGTCAGATGTCTGAAACAACAAGGAAATTCTGACTAGAGTAAAGGGGATTCTACCTGAGCAAAGTTCAGATGCTGCTGTGTGGTTCAGCTTATCATTCCTATAGGAAATGAATACCATACCTTCATGTAAGACACTGAGCTAGAGAGCTAGTCGAAAATGTATAATAACTTGCTATATATTCAACATTGGGTAATAGGATTTTAATAGTTCATTAAATTTACACTGCAATTCTGAGGATGATATAAAAAAATGACTGCGATCTGGCCAGCACAAGAGCTCTGATAGAACTATGGACAAATGAGATAAAATCTACTTTGACCCATTTGTTGTCAAGGGAAGTGCTTGCTGTGTTTTAAAGTCTTCAGTAGTGATACAAAGACTAGAAAAGATATATCTGGAGTTTTAAACCACATCCTAATTTGACAAATTGCCTTATGAAGAAAAAAATGCTTTTCTGGTAAACTGGTCAAAATTGAAGTGATGAAGCAATAAAGCAATATTAAATTTAGTATCCACATTACTACTTGATTGTTTTTCAACATATGATATACTTCAATATATAGATTTTTCATCATAAAATATGCTTCCAATGTACATGCATGTTACTACAATAATTTTATTGTCTATGTCATATTCCTTCAGAAATTAAAGGAGTAGGCTTATGAATGACAGAAAATAAAGAAGGGCTGTGGAAGATGTAAAGATTTCAGTGAAGTGAGGTGATAAAGGAAGCTATCTGACTTCTGATCTGTAATTGGCATAGTAATGCCTTGGATATTAGCAGTGGACAGTCTCCATGGTCTCAGAGGGCGGGAGTTTAATCATGACTTCAGAGCTTTTACAACGTCTTCCCTTTTTCCTTCGGGGGAGGTCTTTTCTGCAGTTCTTTCAGTGCTGTTTCAGTAAATGTGTTTCCTTTCACCTACCCACTTCTCCAAACCCTAAGCATGTTTGTTTGCAAGTTTTCTGGCTGAAAGTGAGCTCATATGGAAAAAAGTCCTCTGAGTTGTTTGTCCTCTCCCTGGGGAGAGTATTTCTTATCAGAGATAATGAGCATGGTTTTGAAAAGAGTGGGCATCCTTTGCTGTCAGTTTGAACCTTGGACTTCACTCTTGTATGTCATGGCGATGCTGACATTACAACAAATGATACTGCACACTTTTCACCCACTCCGGGCAATTCCCAGCTTCCTGTATCCTTAAATACACGTTCCTCAGTCATACAGTGAAAATATTCTTTGTATTTAACCCATTCATGCCAGAAACAGGAATGTCAGCTGGACCAACTTTAACAGACCGTGTTCAGCAAGCCTGCAAAGATTACAGCAGGTTGTCCATTTCAATAGTCTCTGTGAGAATGGAAGCAGGAATCTGAGCAATTTCATTCTGATGTGGTGGAAGCCTCAGCACCCCTTGGTTACTGTACCCTCTAAATTACAGCTTGGGTAAGAAGGAAGAAATACCTCCCTGAAGTGCAAGCACAAAGTTTTCCTTTATGCTTCCCTTCTCCTATTAACTGCTCTGGTGTTTGGTAGTGACTTCTAAAACTTTTTTAAGAGATAATAACATATAGCTGTATCATTTAAATATGACTGGGTCATACCCTTAGATCTTCAACTCTTTCTAAATTAAACCTTCATAGTCTTTAGAGATGCTGTGCATTACGTTTAGGTCAGGTTATAGATAGTCCAAGAGAATGTGCCTGCAATGATCTAAGCTGTTCTTTGTAGTTATTTACAATTTTATATCCTTTTTTCAGGAAATGAATAGCGCTGTGTGAAAACAAATTGTGTAAAGGGAGTGGTGATGGGACATTTAAGTGAAGCATGGACATTTCAATTGAAGTACAGTGTGTTAGTCGAGTGTTACCTGCTGGGCTCTTTAGCAGTAATAGTATTAATTCTGAGGCCTGTGTTATACAGGAAATCATAGTAGAAAAATGAATGACCTTTTGTCTCTGTAGTGTGGGAATATATGTGTCTTGTGCATTGGTATTCACTTTGTCTTAGGTTGTAGAATGACCAAGAGTCGTGTATGTGCTTTCGTGGCACATCCATTTTCTTAAGTACTTGACAGAGTGAGAGGAGTAGTGATTGCAGGGAAGGAATGGATTGTTTTGTTAGTTTGTAATTCTTGGGTTGTGTGGTTTTTTTAACAGAGATGTTAACTTTAGGATGGAAAAGCTCTTGAGACTTTTGTTGCACTTAGTCTCTCTGTGTTTTTGTTAAATAAACAAAGTGTGTATACCTAGACCTTCAAATAAAGGCTCTGAAAGTCCTAAAATGTCTGTATGCCTGTCGCTTCTGCAAGATTATCCAATGAAAGGCAGGACTGTCAACTGTCGCAGGAGTGCAGAATTCTAGCTTTTCTCTCAGTCTGCTGCTCTCGTACTCCAGCTGGGTTTGCTTGCATACCTGTCACATACTTGTGTTTTTCATTTTCACAATCCATGCAAGTATCCTAAGCAGTAGCTACGTTTCCTTTTCAGATATCTTTATTAACCTTCTCCCAAAATACCTCAACCCCAAACCTCTGGTTTATGAATGCCTTTTCAATGCATCTACTCCATGCTAGATTGGTTTTATTTTCTTGCTTTTTGGGAAGCAATCCACAAGACTGCACTGTTGCCACTGAATAGGGAGCAGGACTTTGGGATCACTTCTGTCATACTAGAAAATACAGAAGTATTTTTTTGTTATGTTTTTCTTCAGCTTGCATGGCTCTGGCTATCTCTACCACAGAAAGCTGCAGTCACTGAGCACTTCATTGCTTGAGATACGTCCTGTACTTCATGGCAAGTACATGGGTGTGAATAACAGAGCAGAATTTTTCTGACATACTGGCAGTTTTACAAGAGAAAGAAGACACATTCAGAATGTTACTGCATCATTTTAATTCCAAGTCAAAGGGAGTCTGTGTTTCCTTCATTCTTACCTTTCAAACTGTGCAAAACATCAAAGCCAAAACAAACAAGTTCATGTATGATGAGACATATACACCAAGAAACTATACAGAGTTGCTCAGTTTCTTCTAGATGAGGCTAGGCTAATATTTAAGCTTCAGTCCCATTGCTCAGAAATAAAACAACATACATGTGGATCCTGATCCTTTGCCAGACACCTTAACTTCACTGTGGTTCCAGGTTAGTGTAGCAGATTTCCCTAATGGCCTCTACTGGGGGAGGATGGGAGAATTTTGCTGCTGATTGTCTGGTAGGGAACTGGTGTTGATGGGTCTTATTAATAGTTTTATCTTCAGAGAATTGATCCGCCCTTTTAACTCACAGTCATCACCAATCAAACAAAAGCAGTTTGCTTTTACAGTGGAATCAATAAAAGGGAAAATATATTATGGTATTGTGGCTTAGCTGGGAACACATGCCTTTTACTTTTTGCTGTTTTATCTTCTGTTTAAGAATAGGTTTTGCTACAATTCATATTCTATTGGTGGTATGTTAGGTCTGTGTGATCTGTAATCTGCACAGAAAATACATGCTGTCAGCAGTACAAGGATAGTTTTTTTGTTTCAGTGTTTGCTGCTAATATAATGTGTTATATTGATCCATTCTGGCCTCTCAGGTATTTTCCTGGTGGTGAGAAAAATGGTATATTTCTTCAAGGAAGGAAAAGACAATTTTCATGCAAAAGAATATTCAACAGAATCATAAAGCTCTAGGCCTGGTAATAAAAATAGAAGCTGATGCTATTAATACATCATTCCAGATTCACAGGGCACCATTATGTGGCTCCTGGGTTGAGTAAAATTCCATGTAATCACAGCAGCCATAGACTTAAGCTCTATAAAGCTGAAAACTTCACCAGATGGCCATTGTCAAGGTAGCTTCTAAAGACTTTAAAGCTGCAATGTGTTAGGGCCCTAGATATGACTTAGTGGTAGCTTTTTAAAATACAATTAATGAACAAAACTGATCAACATTATGGAAGTAATAATAATAATACTTTGCACTCAATGACCTTTTGTCTGAGGACCTGAAAGCTCTTAACCAAGGCTTTTAAATACTCCCTTTCTGATTATAGGAAATAAAGTATTCAAAGGCTAGAACATTTGTGTGAGGGAACTGAGCAGGAGCAGTCCAACACCATGGCCTACTGCAAACAGTCAGATAGCACTTTCTGTGTATCTGGGACTGGGACAGGAGAGCGCTCCTGTGCCTGTCTCTGTCCCTGACAGAGATGATGTCCCAGTTGCTTAGGGTGGAACTTCCTATTCAGCAGTACTTCTAGTCTTAGGCAGAGCCAGCCTTTCAGGGGTATTGCTTGTACATTGAAATGCTGTGTGGCAGGAATGAGAATGACATATAATGGCCCTAACCTGAAATTTCCTTTATTTGCTCTATAAACCGTGAGGATAATACTGAAATGATGTGAAGAACTGGAAATACTATGGCTCAGATATACCACACTTACCTGAGGAGCTTAGATGTGGAGTGATAGATCTTAGGCTCCATATATTTAGGGCAGACAGATAAATACCTTCGAAGACTGGCCTGTATTTTATGGAGAATGGTTACATCCTTTTAAAAAGTACCACATGTTGTCTGTGAATTTACTCAGCCTCAAAATCACATAATGGTATTTATTGGTAATGGGAGTAAATAACTGTATTTGACATTCTCTTTTCTATAGTCAGTAGTTATTTTTTCTTTTTTTTTTTCCCAAAGTGATTTTATTGTGGATTTTCAGGGTCTAGAGATCATTCCTGAGAGTTTTCTCGGTGACTGTTTTTGTTTTGTCTTTTAGATTGATGTGATTGTGACTTTGGGTGGACTTGGAGGACGCTTTGACCAAACAATGGCATCAGTGGAAACGCTTTTTCATGCAACAAATATCACTCCCTTTCCAGTCATAGTTATCCAGGAGTGCTCACTGATTTACCTGCTTCAACCTGTAAGTGTTGGGAAAAGTTACTTCATAATAAAATTGACCTTCCACCCACCCTGACACCATAGGTCTTGCACCGTTAAGTGCTCATTTTTTCAATTGTGTTCTGTAGGGTCAGGGCCTAATAATATACATTGCAGACAAATGAACAGCAAATGATGGGATCTGCATTCCTGCCTCGGAAAAGATTTTGTTGAATTTGTTCAGAATAGATTTTTTTTAAAGCAGAGAAAGAAGAAAAACAGAAACTATGAAAACTGAATTTGGGTAAATATAGGATTTTGATTATAAATGGGAAAAAAGTAAAATTAACCTTTTAAATTCCGTTCCAGTAAGTTTAAATTTAGCACATAGCCCTTTTGCATGTTGAGTAGCAGTAAGGATGTGTGCAATAAGAAGAATAAAAGAAAGACACGAGAGGATGATATGAGGGAATTCCTGACATACACATCAGGCAGAGCTCTTATGCAGTCCCAGTGGTGCAGTTCATCATGATGGGAATCCATATAGCATCAGCAAGAGAATTTCTTTAAGATGTGTTATTTTTGTGGGTTTTCAGGTCTGTTACTGCATTTATTGATTCATAAAACAACACACGCAAAAGATCTTGCTGATCTTCTGCTTCTAAGATTTAAGTTAAAGGCAAATCTAAACATCAAACACTGTTCTCTAATAGTGATTCATTTATTTGTTTGGAAATATCTTTTCCTGTTGTCGAGGTTTCTAGAAGCTTACCTAATTTTCCCAATTTCTCTTGGAAAGCTTATTTCATTAAAATAAATAACATTCACAGGCAAAACCTTGCACCAGGTGTGCTTCGTTGTAATTCGAGAAAAGCATTAATGAGGTTCTATGAGTTTATAGATTTAAAGCCACAGGGGCAGATACTCTATTAACAATTTGAAGCACTGTGTCTGCAGGAAAGATAGTAGGCACAGGAGGTCTTTTGTCAGTATGATGAGGAATTACTCTGATCATTAGTTACACAGCTAAATGGATAGAGGCAGGAATGAGGGGAAAAGAGGGCTAAGCGATAACTTTGGTTAAAATCTGAAAGTGAGGAGAAACTTGCTTGTGATTGATCTGTGATTGCAGTACTTCACCGACCACCGTAAATTTATTTTAGGATGTTTTTAAGAACATGTTGAAGATAAGATGGAGAATTCCTAGTTTAGCTTACAAAGCTCTTGCTCGGACTGGAAAGACTTTTAATTATTTTCATTCGTCTTTTCCATAAGTAGCTTTAAAATGCCATGCCTAAGATTGCTTTCACAAGAATCTTCCATGAATAATTAAACCCTTTATACCTTGAAAAAAATCACAATCTGTGCATTTTAAATAGAAATGGGAGGTTGTTAATTATTTGTGTTTGCTAAAAACTTCTTTGTTCTGTTTTTAATAGTGCCGTACAAGAAGCACGTAATATTTTTTGTAGATGGGAGACTTCTACAGGATATTATTTTTTTTCTGCCATACCTGGCTGTCAGTTTGTATTGCCAGTAACTGACTTCTGTAACTTCAGGCTGTTTATAGTGTACAGAAATAAAGGGCAGATATGGGGGCAGGCCATTTAAACAATCTCTGTGCTAATTTTGACACAAAATTACTTTTGATTGTTGTTTAAACCTGTCACTGTCAGCATCTTCAGTCAACTGTCGTGGTACCTCCAGATAATAACATTAATCCTACCTAGTTTAGATAAAAATCAAGTGAGTAGTTTATACACAGAAAAATACAAGGATCCTAAGCTTGGAAGTGCCTTTTTTTTTTTTTTGGTATGAAGTTCAGCCTGGTATTTTTCTCTTGCAAACAGCCACAATCATGACATTCTCTCTTTTCCCTCCTCTCCCCTTTGTAATTTAAAATCAAGGTAGGAGGGAGTTTAACACAGTGGGAGACCACTGACTTTTCAAAATGCAAGTCTCTGGAAACTGCAACAAATGAAGCAAGGTTTTGAGATTCAAATGCTAATGCAAACTATAAAGTTAAGAGCATGTTTCTTTTTCTATAAAATGTAGATCTGAAACCTTTCTCTCTTGGGGAAGAAGAATCTGATCTGTATTGGATTCTGGGATAATATATATGAGCAAAATATAATTATGGTTTTGCTTCAAAATAACATTAGCCCTCTGTTCACAATATCACGAGTGTGGTTCTCTATCATGTGTACCTAGGCAGAGTCTAAAATATTTGGATACAGCAGATAAACTGGTAATCCCATAACAGCCCTAGGAAGGATACAAAGGGGAGTAACAAGTCAAGGTGCTGAATTTTTAATTACTAATGCAGAAACTAAGAGGAGGATGGTGTGAGTACGTATGTAAGTACACCATAAAATCTATTAAGTAATTGCTTTGAAAGAGAGTGATTTCACATTATTACAGTGTTGATATATAGGGTTACAGCAGAAGAAATATATTAGTATTTAACACACTTGTAAAGGGTCCACATGCTGTAGGAAACATGATTATAGACTTCTTGAAAGTCTTCAGGGTGATAAGAGGAAGACAGCAAGGACAATGTCTGATTTGGGATCCACTGCAGACGACCAAGCAAGGGGGACCAGGTAAACAAAACCTTTTTTCATCAGCCAGTAAAATTATCCAAGTATTGAATGTCAGAGTAATGGGCACTTTGAGTATTGAGGCATTTCTTGGGAAACAGATGGACAGACAGTGCAAGTTTCTGAAATATATAGATAAAAATGTTTTGGCATGGAAAGTGAAGAAAACTACAAGGAAGTAAACTCTCTAATGTTCGTTTCTGACCTTTAAGGATGAGCTCCTCTAACAAAAATGGAAAAAAAAGGTGGGAATAATTACACCCCATAAATATCTGTCTCCATGGTCTCTATGGAGAAATGGGTGGGAGGCTGAGATCTAACTATATACGCTGTAGGTATCTAAGTTTAGATAAATGAATTCCAATATATGTCAAATTACTAAGCAAGTATTTAAAAAAAAAAAAAAGCAGGCATGAAATGAGGTGCCCCTCTGGAAGGGCCCAAGAAATGAGAACCTAATTTGTAGCTCCAGAAGTTATAAGTTGACAGTGAAAGATTTTCTCTTGTCTGAATGGGAAAGGAAAACTAATAACAGGCAGCCTAAATGAGCACTTTTGCTCAGTCTTCACTAAAGCAAAATATTTCTTTGAGCAGATAACCAACACAGTTAAAATCAGTGGCAAAGCCTGAAGATTTTAAATAGCTTCAGAGAAAAAGCAAATAGAAGATTAAGTTGCCTTTGATTTTGCCAACTCCAAGGGTTGTTACTTTTTGTGTGCCATGGAACAGAAGGAGTCAGAAACAGGGAGACTTTGTAAGAATTCCAGGAGGTGATGCTTGTTCTGAAGCATTTTCTAATGTGATGGTTGAAATTTAAAAAAAAAAAAAAATGTACCTGTGTACTGAATAGAGGTCATATTTCTTTCTGTAGTGGGAGAGGAAGGAAAGCCTGAATTTTTAATGAGTAATCCCTCTTTATAAGCAGAATATTTTATACAACAGTTCATGCATTTTATGCTTGAAATTTTGGTAATATCAATTACTATTAGACTATACCCTGGCTGAAAAGCATTAGGCCCTTAGAGTCGTGTTTATCATGCTAGCCATGCTCAATATGAATGGCTTAAGGTTTCACATACATACTTTCTCATTTTCTGGTTTTGTGCTTCTCAGGAGTACAGAAACATTAGCTTCTGTACACTGAGCATAAATTATCTTTTATCTGTGAGTTTTATGGCAGTTTGTAATACAAGGTAATAGGATTTATGACCAAGAAATGAGAAGATGTCCAAGAGTTAATGAGGCCTGTCTTTTACACACACCGAGCGGTTCAGTTTTCCCCACACAGGATTCCAGCCCTAGGATGTGGAGAAGAATTGCTGCCTACACATGAAAATGTGTTACAGCAGCATATTTTTGTCAGTTAGCTAACTCTTTTGAAAGAGTGTGTGACTACTTAGATAACTCTTTTTCTTGCACACAGCTTTTCTTTTGAGTGCATGCCTGCCTTCCCTGTGAGAAATTATGAATAATTTAGCATCATAGATAGTGGTCCAGCAGCTAGATGTGAGCAATAAGAATCAGGAATCCCATCCCTTATCTTTGGTTCTTTACTACCATGTACTTGAATAGAAGTATATTGTGCAGCCTTTGATCTCACAGTCTCCTAGTTTGTAAATTGTGTAAAACCCACTTCCTTCTCTGAATGGGTACTTTGAGGCTCATTTAGTTCTTTACAAAACACGGTTACATCCTCATCTCTGCACTGGGATGGAACACAGTATTATGGTAATAGTAACAACCGTATTAGTAAGGCCCTTAATTAACATAAATATTGCCATACCGAGGCTCTGCAGATAATTAGTTAGCATGGTTCCAAACTCAGTTTTAGAGGGAGCTAGGTGTCATTCTTGCAGATGTGTCTGGGCACAGTTCAGTTTTAGCACAAACCAGTAGCGTTTGGAAGGTACTGCCTTGTTTTGGGAACAAGAGAGAACAGCCATGTGCATATGAGCACTGCTGTGCTAGTTGGCTTGAGTTCCAAAGAGTATTACCTGAACAGTTTTACAGATGCAGACAGAGTGACCAGGCATGAAGATCTACTCCTAGACGGAGACGCTGCAATAGATGTGAGAGAAAGTACAAGACTGGAAACTTTGCTGAGGTTTGTTGCTGCAGTTCTCTATGCCAATGTTACTTGGTTTGGTTTGTATCTCTGCTTGTAAAGTTTAATGGGAAGTTCAGGGTATACACCTTCAACCTCTGAGTTTTTTTCAGGGGGCCAGTTCCTTGAATTTTGCAGGAACTTCAAGAATGAGTTATCCAATTCGTTCTGTACCCCCTCATATGTGTAAGGAGCAGATCTGACTTGCCGTGGCTCAGTGGAGAAAATGCTTAGTGAATGTGCCTCTTATGGAGGATAACTTTGGAATTTGGAAATGTAATGTCTCCTTTTCCTATACATATTTTTGGTGCATAAATTCAGTTACAAAAACGATGCAGT